GACTCTGGGATTCTGTGACTCTCTGTGACTGTGACTCTGTGATTCAAAGGCACCAGGGAAGCCTGTGCCACAGAGACAAGGAGACACCGCTGTCAGGGTGTCACTGGTGTGGGGTGACCATGGGAATGGCCACAGAACTGGACATCTGCAGGGCTGCTGGGGTGGGTCAGCAGCTCCTGGGCTTTGCTGGCCTGAGGCYGTTCCCTGAAGTTGTCACCGAAACTGCGGGAAAAACAAAAACTCTCCAAGAACATTTTTAATGTTAGAGAGTCTATTTAAAAAAAAAATTTAAACTGATGTGTTTTCCAACACAGTGCTGGGGCTGCTCCAGAGCTCCCAGAGAAGGGAGGAAGAGGCATTTCAGGGAGAAGAGGCAGCAGGGAGGGCCCACAGACACAGACAGCAGCCACCCCAAAACCTGCAAGCGAGGCTGAGAACACCCCCCGAGTGAGTGAGGATGTTCTGTGGATTCCTCCAGGGCTGGCAAGGAGTGAGGCAGCCCCAGCCCATCTCCTGGCACCCCAACCCTGCTCACACCCAGTGCTGATCCACTGTCACCATCTGGGGATGCTGTGGGGTGGGTAATTCATGCTGGGGGTGCCATGGGATGGGTAATTCATGCTGGGCCCACTCCCACCCACCTGGGGACACAGTGGGGTGGTTATTTCAGAGTGAGAGCACCTCTCCACTGCCAAGGATCTCCTGAGAGCAGAGCAGCGGGGAAGGCACTGCCAGCTGCAGCTCCCTGCTTGTTTACAGAAACTCACGTTGGAGAGGATCCTCAAGAAACGCTTCACCACAGCCCGCCAAGGGGAACAACAACAACAAACCTGCTTTTACCAGGGCAGGATGTTGCTGCAGAGCCACCTGAAAAGCTCTAAAAGGGCTTGATCTGACTGGGGTTTGAGCCACCAGTGAAGCCTCCTAACCCAGATGCCTTGATCTACCTCCAGCTGAGAGTATAAATATTTCCCTGACAGCTGGTGGTGCCATGCAGCAGAAGGATTCATAAAGTTTACATGAACATCCTGTAAACAATTTGAACATAAAAAGCTCTAACAGCCCAATTGTGCTCCTGATCAAAGGCAAACTTCAATATACAGCATAAATGAAAACTTCACCACTTTGGGACTCGTTTCTCCCTTCAGGAAAAGCTGTTTTCCAACGGTATGTGGGAGGGAGTTAACATAAATGAACCACACAGCCGTAGTAAGAGCTGCCTGCTCTGCACCTTCACATGTGTGCATTTAAATTATTGAGAGATAATGGAATTTAATTGTGCTGAGAAGTCGTGTTACCAAAATTCAGGAACAAATCTTGTGCTTTGGCTGGGATTAATAGTGCTAAGGTGAAACTCTCCGAGGGTGAGGGGCAGCTCTGCCCCTTCCACGACACACAAAGTGCAAGCAGCAATCCCAAAGTGTCCCGCAGGGAGGGAAGGGGCAGAGCAGGCGCTTCGGGCGGGGATGCTCTGCTCTGGCAGCCCTTCCCCAGCTCATTTATTCAGACATTGACAGCTCCTTTGTCAGGCATTACCCAGGGCCCAGASCCCTGGGTGCTCACCTGCCAGCACAGCCACCTGGGAACCCTCTCCTGGGATGATTTCACCATTCCAAGGTGTTCCTGCTGGAGCTGTGGGACACAGTGGGGTGCAGTAGGGTGCCCATCTCCCAGCACAGCCACCCTGGGAACCCTCTCCAGGGGTGATTTAACCATTCCAAGGTGTTCCTGCTGGAGCTGTGGGGTGCCACAGGATGCTCATCTCCCAGCACAGCTGCCCTGGGAACCCTCTCCAGGGGTGATTTCACCATTCCAGGGTGTTCCTGCTGGAGCTGTGGGGTGCAGGGCTCTGACCCATGCCCAGGGACTGCTCACTCAGCGTCAGCTCCAGCAGCTCCTGCTCTGGGGACCAAGCCACCCCCTTCCCGAGTTGCCAGCCCTGCCACAGGCACTCCGAGGGCTGGGGACAGCGTGGAGGTGACGGGGGAACACCAGAGCCCTTTCCATCCAGCTCTGACACATGTCCCAGCCCCCAGGGACCCCAACACCCACCTGCTGCCCCCAAAGCTCAGCACCCTCCCAGACTCAGGGATGCACATTCCCATTCAGCTCCAAGGGCAGCCAAGTCCCAAATGGGAGCTCAGAGACTTCTCCTCAAGGGTTTTGAGCAGCTCCTTGMGTGAGATTTGGGGGGAATTTCATTTTTGCTCTAGATTTTTGTAATTCTTAGTGTTTCTGAGGAAAGGACTGCTCCACATTACACATCCACACTGATCCATCACTCCTCGTGCCTGAGCACATCTTAAGCCTTGAAGTCCACAACRAAATGACAGAAAGGGGACAGAATGTACACACCAGATCTAAAACGCTCCAGGATTTGTACCTGCTGCATAAATACATAACTTGTGTAACTTCTGCTACTTCAGTTAGAAATAAAAATAAAAAATAATGATTAAAGAAAAAAAATAAAAGGAAAAATCAAGCAGAGTGACATGCAGGTGGCTGTGGGACATCCAAGAGGGGTGGCCATGGACGCAGAGGGCCGGCCCTGCYGCCTGCCCAGCCCTCCCAGCCTGGAAGGTCTTGCCAGGATTCACCAACACAGATGTGACCTTTCCTACCAGGGACTTCTATTGCTTCTGGCAAAAGCAGCCGTGGACAACACAGCGGGGAAGAGCTGGCTTGGAAGAGAGCAGGAGAGGGATCCTGAAGGTGGAATGGATCAAAGTGACAGCCCTTGGGCACTCAGCAGCTCCCCAGGGCCAGGAACAGCCKCCCCAGCCCTGCACAGAGCCCAGCACCTGCCTGCCAGCAATTACTGACATTATCTCCAAACAGGGCAGCTTTGCCGAGGTTCTTTTCCTGATATTTAGTAGTCTGAATGCTAATCCCTTTGACAAAACTGTCCCCTATGCTTTTTTTTGGTTCTCTTTCCCCTTAATCTCTTTCTCCCAGTATAAAAAAAAAAAAAAGAAAAAGAAAATACCAGCCAGCCTAGTTTGGCCGCACCTGGATTTGCATTGATTCCTCCCTTGTCATTCATGTTACCAACAGGAATTAGCATATGGCTTTAAGGGGAAACTCAGGAGGAGAAAAGAAAGATGCCATTTTGATGGAAATAAGGGGCAAAGGAATAATCTACCATCAACTAAAAAGCTTATTTGTGTATGGTTTCCCAAGCAAAGCTTCGAAAAGCCCATGTTGATTTTAGGCTACACAAAGAAAGCCTAATCCTTTCAAGGGAACTAAATCACCAAAGAAAAGTAGCTCGGAAGAAAAGGCTCCCTGTCAAGCATGGGTATTCACATCCAAAGGGATGYCACGAACGAAGCTCCGTAAGTAAACAGCAATAAGAATGTGGGAAATGTGTTTGAGGCAGMAAAGAAAACCAAAGGAAGAGGAAGAGGGGCCTACTCTTCATCAGTCACCTCCTGGGGAGGAGAGGAGCCCCCCACTCGCCCTGGTTACAGGCCTGCGGCAGGAATGCGGATTCACCRCTGCCTCTCCTGCCCTGGCCCAGCCCCAAGAAAGGGCTGCTCAAATGCCAAAGCTTTTTACAGCAAATTAGCAAAATAAAGATGCAGTCACATGTCGTTTGGGGGCCCGGGGTCACTCCAGACACGMAGCTCTTCCCTTCTAATGGCTGTGCCACCTATTCTCAGCCTCCRGAGGGGCCGGGAACCTGTGCATGCCATTAATCACAAAGGATAAATCGGCTTGCCAAGGGAGATAACCTGGTTAGACCACAGAAATAATCCAGACTGTACTTCCAAAGGATGCTAATGCCTGAAAAACAGGACTCTGGGCCCGTAACGCAATTAAATCCAGGTATAATTCAATATGCAGCAGAAGCCTTCAGAAGCAGCAGCGGATCAGCATGGGAATCCCAAAGGTAACRGGGTCACGCTCTGTCCCCACTTAAACCAGCACAGCTTGGTGGAATTAAAAGKCACAGAAAAGCACTGGAATGACTCACTGGAGTAGCAAACCAAAGCTGGGGAGAAGCACACAGGGCAAGCACTGAGCAAATCCACACCTGGCCAGCAAAACAGACCTGTGTTTCAAACAGATCGAATCTGCCTCTTCCAATGCAAACTGACTGGAGCGTTCCAAACCCCAGCAAGATAAAACCCCGGGGTTATACCGGGAGCTCACCCTTTTCCAGGCAGCTYCCACGTGCTGCCAGAGGAAAGCAGCACACTGGGGTAAAAACCAGATGCGTTTCCAAGGCTTTGATTCACACTTGTTTGTGCAGCTCATGCCTGGAGCTGCTCCCTCCACCCTCCTTGCAAAAACACCAACCGAACCAAAAGTGAGAATTAAACCCAAAGGATCCCCAAAGCTGTTGTAATAACGCTGCTCCAGGCCCAGCTCCATGCAGCAGCTCACGGGCGCTGATTTAGGGCAAGTTTTCCCTTAATGTACTGTTATATCATTAGCCACTCTGTCTTTGGATTGCTGTTTGGGAGAAATTAATGGGATACTGAATATTTAAATGTGGCCCTCTCTATCATTTATTAACTCTACAGAAAGCACACAGCACAGTAAGCCATGGTTTATGACTATTATCCTGTGAATACTAAATGTTGGCTGGTTATTACTGTCAGCAGTGCAAATTGGCTATTCATAATTCCACGTCTATCATGGAGCTGATGAGTAACAATCAAGTTAAAACATTTTGAAAACTCTTACAGTTATTTAAATGAGCTTAAATTAAAGCCATTTGTAAAATAAACTATTCCCTAATATTGTTATTTAAATTAATTCTGACCTGGCAGGCAATGCATTATTTAAAGCCTATATTTTATATTAAGCAAAGCAATTACCGAGCATACAGAACACGTCTGAAACCCAGAGAAACATAAAAAGCACTAACAAGCTGATTGCGACATTTCTGCAAGACAAGTTACATTTCATCTCCCATTGAAATTGCCGTGAAAAGAAACGTGTGGGGAAAAAAAAGAAAATAAATCTGTTTGGGATGTGAATTGCAGCCTTACCTTTATTTGTGACGGCGTTGAACAGTTTCTCAGAGCTGGCATCAGATGCCTGAAAGACCAATAAAAAAAAAAAAAAAAAGAGAAGTTACATTTTGTAGCAGTGACAGATTTCCAAAGGCACGGCGGTGTATTTATGCACAGGCAGAGGCAGGTATGTATATTTTAGGGAAACAAATCAGGAGACAAAACCCGGGAGCGCTGGAAGCGGCAGCTCCGGAGGCCGTGTCCATGAGGTGGTGCTGTTTGGCTGTGCTTYGCCGCCCTGCAGTGCAGATATTTCTTGGGAAAGATTCTATTTCATAAAGAAATGGGTTTTTTCTCCAACATTAGCTGCACAGACACTGTATCTTTGTACTGCCATTATCCAATACGTTCYGACATTGATTCTGTGATGGAGAAGAGTCACGATTTCAAACCAGACGCCCAGGCTTGGGAATTTCAAGAACTGGAGATTTCTTAATTAATTTTTGAAGTATTTTTGGGATCCCTGCTGTGTGAACATTCGATTTTTTACCACCTTCAAAGCTGTGTTGATAACTCAGGTTAGTAATTTCATAAACTGCTCTTGCAAACTCTTTGAAAAATAAAGAGTGTGTCAGTATTTAGGATCAGCTTTYCATGCCAGCTTTGCCTTCCTCGGAATAACTGATTCTTGACACCTCGCTGTGTAAACTAATAAACCTTTTCTTTTTCATCAAGCCACCTTTCTCCATGGAGGTGTTTCCCCTTAATATCGTGTTAGCAGCTTCTCCRTCCCCGCTGTTTCTGTGCCAGGGTGCCAGCTCAGCTCTCCACCCATGTCAAAAGCTTTAATTTCAGTTTCGCACAAAACCACTGAGCTCTCCCTTCGAGAAATTCCAACGGCACAAAACCAGGCGGGGAAGGGAACAGTGAAAATGTTCATTTCACAACCCCCCCGAGCCCAAAAGCACCGAATACTCAGTTGATGGCAGCTGTGTGCTGCTCTGTCTGGGCACACACACACAAAACACAGCTCAAACTTCTCCCACCTCTGTACCCACAAAAARCACAGAGCTCTGCAATTCCGAACTGGAGTCTGGATCCAGCCCTGCTGCTCTTAGAAAATACAGGGAAAATRTGCTCACGAACAAAACACTGTAAACAGGGTTAAAATGCAACACTTGAGAAAGAGTTAAAATTTTCCCTAGAAATTGTTTTTTTGCTGAATTTGGGAAAAATAATTAAGAGCACTGTTTGGACAGCGGGCTGTGGAGGTTTTTTCTGTTAAAGGGAAGGAATTTCTCAATTCAAAACCAGATAGAAATCACCAGACAATCAACACAGACATTTGCTTTCTGACTGCACTAAAAACTTGGATGCGAAACTCCCGATAAATGAATAGACACAGCTCAGACTGCGCATCACAGTGTARGAATACACTGAAATAATTTGCTTGCCCCCAAGTTACTGACAGACAAGATTTCTATGATTAATTATTAAAAATAGCTTTATTCTTTTTCAGACTTCTAGACAGATTTTACTAGATTACTGCTGGCTTATTTGAAAGCTGAGCTGGTGCATTTCGTCTCAATTAAATACCTTGTAAACATTGGATTTATTACTCAATGATGGATTTATTATTCAGTGACGACTTTCTCTAAATTAATGAAAATATGTGAATAGTGCACAAATTGAAGAGATCAAGAAGGCCATGTGCTTTAAAGAGCAGCCCAGTATTAGTCCAACAAGAGGCTCAGTGCTTTCCTAACCTTGCCAATCAGCCTGCTTAAAAATAATCTTTCCCAGMAAATTTCAGCTGTTGTTGTCTTTCCAAATGAAGCTTTTCTCTGAAGTCAAAACTCTCCAAGTCAGAGAGTTCCTTTTTAGAAAGAAAATACAATATGAAAAAACCAAACAAACTTCCTACAGTGTCAGCTATTACTTTATTTTACTGTTTCAAAACAAAACAGCACAGGGAAGCTCCATGTTTCCCATTCGCTTGATTTTTCCAAGCACCACAAAGAGGAAAACAATSTTTTTAAGAAGTTTGCTCGAATAACAAATGTAAACCAACGGATTATTTTTAAGCTTTTTCAGGTGCAATCTTTCCCTGTGCTATCGCACACAGCAGTTGTCACAAACRGTGCTGTGACACCTGGAAGTGGCACATCTCGAACCAAGCGCAGCCTGCCCGAGGATCGCTCCGGAGCAACCTGGCAGATGATTATCTGTGTAACATACATCTAAAAAAGGAATTATTTACAAAGACAAACCTCGTCCAGGAGTGAAGCTCATTTGGCTTTATTGTCCACACATAACCGAATGGAAGAGCAACTTGAAATAACCCCACTGCCTGCGTTACCATGAAAATAACCCTAACGTTGGTTTGAACAGCGACAAATAAGTTGGCCTGCCCGTCTTCTTACTTTAAAATTGGGTTTAAATACAAAATAACAATTAGAGTGATGTACCGGCGATACGGAGACGAGTACAATTTCCGCCAGCACACACACACACACTGTATCTATTTCCATGCAACTATTATTTTTCCACAGCCAGGCTGTCACATCACGCAACAACGTTAAAGGAACAAAAAGCCAAATTGATTTAAAAATCCGCAACAACTCARCACTACCCCAGAAGGATGAAATTCACTGCCGGCGCAGGGCTGACTTAAGCCCTGCTCYGTGCTGACAGGAATCCGCGCAGACAACAAAGTGCCTTTATGTGCACGGTGGGTGCGATGGGGCCGAACCTGGATGTTGGAGCGGCGGAGAGCAGCTCGGCTACCCCTTCCCTTACACCAGCCAAGCGCAACTCTCTCTTCATTCCCCTTTATCCCGATCTTCCCAYGTCTTACTTGAGCAGCTGAAGAGCACTGTCTGCTGGCACCGCGGCATTTGGGGACACACCGGGTTATCCGGGGTGCTCTGCCCTGGGAGCCCCCGCGGTTTCTCCTTGCACGGAGCCGGAGCTGGTGACACACAGTTCCCTTCCTCGCACTTTGGCCGTTTTCCCTTACAAATCCCCTTGTTACCAAGCGCAGCTTAATCCTTTTCACCGCGAAATGAAACAAGTCAGCAATCCCTGGGCTTAAAGAAAAAAAAACCCCAACAAACCACACAGAAAAAAAAATAACCTAAAGAGTATTTTTCCCTCACCAAGGAATGTGCTGCCGTTCAAAGGGATGCATGACTAAAATATTTCCTGTCCAGACAGCGCAGCCTGACTCACCGCTGGCACGGCCCGGCCCCGCCGCGGCACTTGCACCGGCCCCGCACCTGCCCGCGGAGCCAGCGCGGCCCCGCCGCCCCCTCCGCCCGGCCCGTCCGCGCTGCCCAGCCCGGCGGCCGCTACCTCCGGCCGCGGGGTCCCGCAGGAGCCGGGCCGAGCCCCCGCCCGGTGCTGCCCCGTTCGTTACCTGCTGTCCGGGGGCTCCGCGGGGCGGTCGGCCCGCGGCTCATGGCGGTGCGGGAGGGGCGGGCGTGTGCGGCAACTCCGATCCAGCGCGGCTCTCAGCGTCCCGCGGCCAAACCCAAACTAATCCTCCGCGGGGAACCAACTCCGCGGGCCGGGAGCGCGGGCCGCCGGGCGGGCATCCTTCCCGGGCCGCCGAGCCCTTCCCCGCTCCCGCAAGATGGTTCCCGGCAGGAGCGACCGGAGCGCGGCGTGCGGGGAGCGCGGAGCGGGCGCGCTACTGGAGCGGCAGCAGGACAAAGAAAACCATGTGCGGCGGCGGCGGCCGGGGCAGCGGCGGCACCTCCGGGTGCGGGGCGGTGCGGGGCGGTGCGGCCGCGGCGCCTCCTCCCTCCCTGCGCGGCTCCGGCGCCGGCGGCAGCAGCTGCGCGTCCCTTCTTTCGGGCGGTTTTTTGGGTTCTTTTCCGCTGTTTGCCGGGGTGGTTTTGGGGGTGATTGTTTTTGTTTGGGTTAAAAAGTCATGCCCGTCCTCTCCCGAGCCAAAGCGGGCTCCCGCCGGACGCCGATCCCTCCCGTCGCGGCCGCGCTCAGGTGAATTCCATGGGGGAGAGGCAGTGGCCCGGCCCCGGCTCCTCCGGCCCCGCCGACACAGCCTCGCAAGCCTGTAATCCCCGAGGGGCGGCTCCGCTCCGCCCGGCCCGGCTGCAGCCGCCCGCCGGACCCCT